GCCCAGAGGTTGTTTCAGTGTTCAATCTGTGAGTTAGCTATGCCCTGACTTTAATCAGCCCAGAGGTCGTTTCGATCTGTGAGTTAACCATGTTCTTACTCAGATCAGCCCAGAGGTTGTTTCAGGGTTCGATCTGTGACTGAGTTAACCATGTCCTGACTCAGATCAGCCCAGAGGTTGTTTCAGGTTTCAATATGTTAGTTAGCCGTGCCCTGGCTTTTATCAGCCCAGAATATGTTTGAGGGTTCGATGATTGAAATGATATTTTTTTATCATGAACATCTCCGTTACCAAGAAATAACAAACTACTGTTTCTGTTCTTTTAGCTTCCTCAAGTCAACTCGTAACTTCGCTCACATTAACTTGACCCTGTCCCTGTTGCTGGCTGAAGTTCTTTTTCTTGCTGGGATCGACAAAACACAGTACATTGTAAGTATAGCCTACGCCTTGCACACTTGATGTTACATGATCGCGATGAAGCTCGCGTTTCACAGTCAAACTTAACATTGATAATGTTGACTCTAGACCCTTTGCAAAATGTGCAAGTTGCACAGAGGAGTCACGTGACTCTACGCCTTAAACCAAGCAGTTGTGTCGAAATGAACAGAAATGGAAAAAGCATCTCGATATTAATAAGGAAACTAAATTTCAAAGTAGAATATAGTATAGAAATAGCAATGGATATAAAGTCGAGTTTGTTAATAGGGTTTGTATGGGAAGATGAGTTGAAATCATGCAAGGCCTTAGGCCAATATAGCAAGCTATTCACTGAGATTTAGAAAGTTAGGACCACGTGAATAGCTACTGTAGTGTGTTCTTTGATAACATATCTATTTGCAAAGCTTTGTCTCAATGTCATAAATGTGGAGCATACATATTTGTTGTTGATTTACTAACGTGAACAAAAATCGGTGATCTTGTTTTTTTCCATCCTCAGCTACCTTGTAGTATCATCGCCATTTTCCTACACTATCTATTCTTGGTCGTGTTTTGCTGGATGGCTTCTGAAGGAATCATCCTTTACTTCATGCTCGTACGAGTTTTCCCTTCGGAAACTAGCGGACCTCGAAAAAAGATGTTTTTCATCTTCTCGTGGGGTATGTCAAGAAATGTCTCACTATTAAAAACGGCTTAGGAATCGAATGTAGATTCCTTATATTGCTCTTGAAAGAAACGACTGGATGTATGATGAAGTGGGAAATAATCTAGTCTATCTGGTCATTGTTTTTATAGTAATAATAATAATAATAATAATAATAATAATAATAATGATAATAACTTTATTCTTATATAGCGCCATTTCCATTTCTTTCCAATGGAGCTTTACAAATGTTATGGCTTTCGTTGTAAATTAATTTCCTGCACCCTTGGCCCAGTGAAAAAAAAAGTGGCTTCCAAGAGACCGCGGAATCAAGCCCAGTTGAGGGGGTTATGCTACCTGCTTATGGCACTGTTTTAAATTTCTTCAATATCATTCCATTTTATTCTTTTTCTTAGGATTACCATGTGTATTCGTTGGCTTTACTTCGTCTCTTTACTTTAAAGGATATGGAAACAACAAATAGTAAGTAACTTGGTATTGGAATTCCGCGCATGCGCAATGACAATATCCCAGACATCTTACCAGAGATTACTTTAGACAGTTTTTTTAAGGATTCGGAGCTATATCGTCATCGATAGATCGTCTTATACGTGCAAGCTAGCTTGCTTTATTTCCCTATTTAAGTCCCCCAAAGCTCTCCACTTTTTAGGGTGCCCCGCGGTCATTGACTTCACTTTCCATAGTTGTTTTCTATCATGATTGATTGATTAATTGATTGTTTGATATTTTTTGATTTTAATTCTATTCAAATAGCTCCTACTGATATGTTATTGTATTGACATTTTCTTAATTATTTTCGTTTTATTTGAATCTTCAGTTGTTGGCTTTCGATTGATGATGGCTTTATTTGGAGTTTTCTCGCTCCAGTACTCCTCATCAGCTTGGTAAGTACACTGATTCGCACCAAAACAACATGCCTAAAAGGTATCAAAAATGTATTCATCTGTTGCTAGGTGACAGCCTATCCAAAGGCTGCTGTTGCCAGGCGAAAGCCAATCAAAAGTCCTAATTTACATGGTCCGATTTCTGTAAGTCAAGCAATCTAAAACCACGGATAAATCGGCCGAAGACTACATTTCAAAACAGACCTTTTTTACCTTGTCCATACTATCTTGAGGTACCTATATAGATAGGTAAGATAGACGCTACCTGGTAGTATGAACATCAGAACAAATTGTAAGGTACTTAGTTCACCTTTGTCTGTCTACAGGTTAATCTCGTGTTTTTGGCGATGACATTCAAAGCCATGGCTAACAGGTCCACTCCACAGTCAGTGAATAAAAAAAAGACATTCAAGTAAGTGTATGAACCCGTCGACCTTGTCCTCCTCTTTCAGTCTTTTTTTTTTCCTTTTTACTTTTTCTCGTCCTCGTGTAATTCATGAGACATTTTTCTGTGCCACGAAGAAAGTCGTTCCTACTCTAACGAGGAAAGACAAACACGTCAAATTCAAATCTATTAAGCAGAGAACAATTGCTTGAACTTTGTTGCAACAACTCGTTTCTTTTTTTGCAGATATAGAAACTGAACTCGTTTCTTATTTGCAGCAACTCGTCTAACATTCAGTTTTTTATTCGCTTCTCTCCCTCTTGCTATATCGCTTTCTCGCGTTTTATTTTTTTCCTACCACTTATTCAATTGTGTATTGTTTCCCAACACACGATAGGCATTGGGTCAAGGCATGCGCAGTACTTACCTGTCTGTTAGGTACCACGTGGTTACTTGGTCTATTCTACGTCAATAAACACTCTCTCGTCATGGCGTACCTCTTCAACATATTTAACAGTTTGCAGGTATATATCTCTTTAAAAAACTTAAAACGTCTGTTATAAACTGCATCAAATACATGAGCCCTACTCATGAGGCAGCCATTTTGACTGGAGAAATAGGTTTTTCCCAGGCGTAGCCTCCCATTCAAGCGCTTCAGGACAAGGTTACGCGTGGTTAAACGAAGATTCTTGAAAGCCTTGGCGCATGCTCCTTGTCCAATATTTCCCAGCAGTTCTTTGCGCGCTGGCTTTGCAAAATGTATTGAGTTGTAAAGATTTGTTTAATTGTTCCAATATGGCTTTCTTTCAGGGATTATTGATTTTCATATTTCACTGTGTCTTTGACGAACGAGTAAGTAAAATATCTGACTAAAACTAAGGTAAAAAGTAGATAAGACCACGTGACTATTTCCCGTCATTTTACGAGGCAAACGTGAGCTTCAAACTAACTTCAAAAATATCCACGAACGTTTGTTTACATGTGAATAATGCAAGAAATAGACATAAGGATTGCCTTATGGGAACTAGTTAAGCTTTAAAACTGGCTTCCAAGTCTCCCATCCAAAATGGCGACTGTTACTAGGTGCCTTTGGCGACAGTCAAATAGTTTCGTCTAATTTAATTCTCGATATACAAATTCAAGGTACGCGCTGAGTACTACAGGATATTGTGCTGCCGTGGATCGAGAAGAGATAGTCTACGACAAAAATCAACTGGTACTTTGACATTCCGCAAGTTGACATCAGCATCAAGCGCACAGGTATTGTACGCATTTATCTTGGCTAGCGACGTCTTTCTTAGGGATTAACCAAGCTATTTTCTTCTTTTTTAGATGAGAAAATGTAATCAAAGCTCGACAGATGGTAAGCAACTCGTTTGTATTTATGTTTTATTTTAGATACTGATATATATCTGTCAAAATAATGAAACTTTTTGATAGGAAGAAAAGCAAAAAATTGAATAGCTGTTTTTAGACAAACGTTATAAAAAATATCATACATGTCTAACAGACCTACTTTTCACTTGGGCATAATGTTTTCCCATTTCAGACCAGGTGTCATTCCCTAGAGTATCATTTCTTTGTTTAATGGTTGCACCTGAGAAGACAACATGAATATCGGTACAACTCAAACAAAGAATGTTATTCTCAAGAGAATGACACGTGGTTTGAAATTGGAAAACATTACGCCCTAGTTAGAAAAGTTCATAAACTTACTATGAAATTATTTCTGGAATGCGCAAAAAATGACTGTAATAACTTGATTGGAAATATATTCTAGAAAACAGTGCTGTAGCTCAGCGTCATTGGAGAGAGCATTTCGCCTTCGCTATAATATCTGCATCATGTTTTTCTTGTCTTAACTTATCTTATTGTATTGGTTTGTAGTTGGTAAAGGAACCAACTCAGGGTCAACAGGATACGCAAAACATGACTCGGATTCCTCGCAGGTTTGTCATTCTGTTGTGTTTTTACTGCTTTTACTGCTTTTAAATTTGTTGTGAAATGTCCGGGTGAGTGTAATCTTGAGAAAGACTGTTGTTGGTGACGTTTCCACAACCTGAGCGGAAGTCATCTTCAGAGTCCAGTGACAAAATGAGACTCTCTTTCAGCGTTCGGCTATCTCGTTTCTCACTCCGGTGGTTTACATGTACGGGGTTCCTGTGGAATTGGCAGGATCTTTCGCGATATAAATGCGCGCACGCTCGCTCGTCACTAACTACTGCTACTAATATTATTATCATTATTATTTGGCGGGAACGCGTTTTGGCGGGAACGGGTTTTGTCGGGAATTTTCGCCCTAAAACGTGCGCGCGATCGTCCCTGCTACTCATACGACGCCACTGCTAAAATACGTGAAAGTAAGGTTGTTTTTTTTTCTGTTCCAGAATGGTATAGCGGACATATTCGACTCAGACAGCCTCCTCACCATAAATAAAACATCAGCAGAGGAGCATGGGATGACAGATGATCAGGATATGGCACCTATCCTCAAGACACCAGCAGAAGACGTCTGCTCGGACACAGATTACGACGGCTTGGATTACAATCAACAGAAAGAAAAAAGCTGGGGAGAGCATTTAACGGAGAGTCTTTTTAATGTGTCTTCTATAGAGGAATGGGAGAGCCGTTCTTCGAAGAGAATGTCCCGACCGCTCTCTGAGGATACCTCAGGTTTCAGCGTTCCACGATCAAAGGATTACTATTCCGATGGCGATTATAATCGTTATACAACTGATCTAAGTGATATATACCACAGTGAGAATGAAATAGGATCTCATCCGGTTATTGAGACAGATGAGGGTAAAGTAGTCAAACTGGGGCGTTGCAAGATATGTTCAAATGATTCCTATCATATGGTCTGCGTCCACGATGAAGACAATCTGACACAGACATCATTTGATTGCGCCGAAGAATCGCCATTTCAACTTCACTTAAACACGGACGCGTCGTTTTCCTCGGGTGTTACTGTCCCAAGCGCGCATGTATCATTTGATGACTCGATCCTTACGGGATTCCTGCGGGATGAGCACCCGAACCCGAAGATAATAAACCATAGGTGGACGCATATGCCTTATATAAAAAAATCGGATCAAATACCAACAAAGAACTTTATGACAGAAAGTGCGTCCTGTGATGACAGATTTTTACGGTCTCCAGAAGGAACTCCAAGTAGAACGACAAATTCTAGTAAAACTTCTGTTGATAAATCACCAAATAGCACAAAAAGTGTATGTTCGAGGACTTCTTTACACGAAGAAAGTATGAAAAAGGAAAACAGTCACACGGACGTGGACTTAAGTAAGTTTGAGAATCCAACGAATGCAGCTAAACCGATCGGTTTGGTTGCTCCAATAATGGCGCCCCTCTCAGTAGAACAACAAGATGAAACCTTCAGTCCGCCAGTGGCACTGGCTGAATCAATTGACGGGTTGCACGACTTTGACTCTGAACAGGACAATGAAATTCACACGCTTAAAACCACTCCGAAAAAAAATGAGATTAGAACAAGTAAAACTCCTGATGGGAAATACAAGACATCGATACAAGTGAGCGTCTCGCCACAACCGATGAAAACTAGACAGGAAAATGACGAGCTTCTAACAGCAACCAATAATGATAGGAAGGATTCTCCTTCGGTATCTAGGCTACCGATATATCCTCATTCTACTACAGGTGAGAATGATTTCAAGTTGTTTAGACCTTAAAGTCTGAATACACGGTACAACAGTCTTGCGCAACATAACACACAAGCACGAAAATAGAGACCTTTAGCAACACATTCTTGCTAGGTACTGCAAACCTCAAGCTGCAGTTCGACGTCAGGCGTTTTCCGTCAAACTTTGGACATTTAGCGAGGCGTCCTAACGAATTTGTTGTTGGAAGAGCCGCTATATTGAATTTCATTGATGCTGACTGTTTCTCCGTTTTTGCGTGCGTGTTTCTGGGCTTGATCCCTAGCATTTAACGGTTAACGATTAGCAGTAAACCAGAAACTGAATAATGTTACAAAAATGTTATGTGAGGCTTCTCTATTGTTGCGTGCAAATTTTCACCTTACATTTCCCAGAGTCAGGATCGAAATATTTGAATTAAGTTTGAATTTGTTGAAATTAAATTCTAGTTACGAGGAAAGAAATGACTTCCATCAAAAAAGGAATCGTACAGAGACTTGGTCAGGTATTTGAGTCAGGGTGGCAGAGGTTATATCATCAAAATGGTGAAAACGAAGCACAGAAGAAAAGCGACAATGAAAGGAGAAAAACAAGTATGTAATCAAATATTAGTAATATGATAATATGATAATATGAGTAATAAGCTCTATAATTTCAAAAACATTTCGAATGGATTTGGCTTTTATTTTTACATCAGATTTGATGAATTATAGGTTATATCTTGCAGTGCGCATGCGCAATTTCCAGCTAGCGACACTAATGTGTCACGTGGTAAACGCCCGCTATCTTGAATCACGAATGTAGATTTTCTTGGAGCCTGTCTTGCAACCAACAAAGCAGTTGTGAATGAATTGCTTGAGAAAATAATAAATAATTGTCATCCAAGATGGCGGACGTGTTCCGCCATATTGGATGACAACTATTTGTTATATTCTTATTCTAGAAAGCATTACAAAGAGATCTAAAATTCAATAATAATTAAGTCAATTCTATATTATTATTTTTCTCCTCTCAACAGAAAATGCCAAAAAGAAGGCCCAGCCAGTTCCTGGGCATGTTAAAAATCTGCGAGAAATGTTTGAGACTCGACCTGTACTGGAAAACACGGATTGTTAAGCAAGATGTATTCCATACTTTGATTTAGTTAATTGGATACCTATATTAAGCAGGCACCGTTGGACCTTATCTGGTATATATCTTGATAGAGGGTTTCCATACATTGTTTATGATAACGCTTTTATAATCATGATAATTAGCCATTAGATTAAGATAAAAAGCCTGGGCCGACTTCTCATCGCAGTGCGTAGTGGGACAGTCGTCATAATGCAGTTTTCGTATGACTGTGAAAAGTTCACGACACGAACACGATCGCGACACAGCAAGGGATACGCCAGACAAATCACATTGCACGAGAATTTACTCTCCATCCAATCAAATACCCGGAACACGGCATAAACACGGCGCGGACACGGTCACGCCAAGATCACGGCTTTTTTAGACCAATTATATTGCGCGTGAAAAAAATCAGCCAATTAAAATTCTAGAAAGTATCACGGTCACGGCACGTCACGCTTACGGCACTGAGCTTTTCACAGTCATACGAAAACTGCTCTATGTTCCCTCAAACAGTCCCACAATCACTGTAATGTCAACTCGACCCAGTTTTTCCTCGACCTCGGAATTGCTAATTAGTAATCGATCATATGTAAAGACAGACCACATGTCAATCAACATGTTTATAGCTATGTAAAAAACACCGTATCATTAATAATATATTCTTAATCATTATTAATATATATTATCAACAGTATCTGTTTATAGTGTGAATATTTCATTGGAGATATTAATTTATCTGAAAATAATCTGTAACTAAACGATTACATCAACCCAAGATGTTTGCTCGTCGTAGCTAGAGTTCCTAAGTTGGAGGAGCGAGTACACGCGTTTTGGCGGGAAAATTGCCAATAAATCCACAGGCAGCCCAACCACTCCCCACTCCTTCCTGACTACTCCCGTTGTGTGACAGTGATAATGGAGTAGGAGGAAAAGATGGACGGAAGTAAAATGAGATGAAACGAAAACTCGAAATCCTTTTCGCGCCCTGCAACGCTTGACCTACAATTCCAAAATGAATACTTTTTTTTAATTCATAATTTTTTTTCTATCCTTTTTCGCATTTAGTTTTTGTAGAATTGCCAAAATATAGTGAAAATATATCAAAATCATTAAAGCGTCTTATGTCATTTGTTTGTTATGAGTTTTCCTGTAAACAATACGAGAAATGGTTCTTCACACCTCCAAATATGCTGGACAATAGAATAGAATTCATTATACGAACATGCAAGAATGTATATTCTTTATCACATCGTGGTCTGGTAGAATACAGTCGGTTGATGAAGCTTCTCTCGAGATTCGTTTAGTTTTTGGTGGTTTATTTTGATATTGGATTGAAATAATGGAGGATTTTGAAGCCTAAAGTTACCTCGAAGTATACTACCACTTAAGACAGTGTTTAAAACAACACATATGGAGTGAAGAGATGAGAGAAGTTTGCTAGAGAACATGAGGTATTTATAACCTGGTTTCGCCAGTAAGAAAAGAAAGAATTCTAAATCAAACAGACGGCGAGCGGCAAAGCGAGTGGTAAGTTGAAATTCAATTCATTTTATTAATCAGAAATAATAAAATAAAACATTCAAACCTGTTTGACTCCGGCCAAGAAAGGAAGCAAGGCAGTTTTTGCAGTGAGAGAGGTGTGTGTACCGACCGAAAGGTCCGACCGGTCGACAAGACACTTTGAATAAAAAATATATCACATATATACCGTAACATCTTTATCTAGATTTTGTATTTTTATCTTATACAAAATCATTCATACCTAATTTGCAAATAGCTAGCGTTCTCTCCATGAGCCTGCAGGTATTCGGTCAGCTGATTCATGCCTGAAAACACAATGTAAATTACATGGACTGTGTCCATCTTGTCTCGTAACGAAATACGAGACATTCTTGAGGGTTTAATGGTATTACAAAGAAAATTGCACAAAATTCCATATGACAATCTTAGTTATATTTTTATTGATGATGATCTACATCTGTTTCCATGAAAATACTAGTACGCTTGTCCCACGTGCTAATTTTATGGACAAACCATTTTAGGCATGACATGCCAAAGCATGTTGGCATATTGCAAAGAAGATTGCTTTCAATATAAAATTGCCTGATATCTGAAGTTTGTTTCTATCTATTGTTATTGTTGTTCTTAACATTTGGTCGAAAATGTTTTTGCAATATTTGTTAAAGGAAATTGAGGCATAATTCAGAGATGTAATCTGCATTCACAAGATAATCTTCTTCGCAGTGGAGGATCTAGGGCGGGTAGTGCGAAGGGGTCCGCTGTACCCGTTTTTTGTTTTTGTTTGTTTGTTGTTGTTGTTGTTGTTTTTTTTTTTTT